GAACTACTTGGTGATGAACCACTACTTTGTGATAAATCACTACTTTTTGATGAATCATTACTTTGTGATGAATCACAACTTTGTGGTAAATCTTTCCATTCTTCACCTGATATTATGTCTTCTTGACGTATTGATTCATATACCTGATTAATTTCTGGTCGCAACTTAGGATCCCCATCCCAGCAATTTGTATAAAGCTTAACATAGGAGTCAGTTGACTCATTTATTGGTTGTTCTCGTATTCCTTTCATTGTTTGGATCGCAATTTTAAGGTTGCTTTCAACTTTTTCAAATGGGGGTCGGCCATTGCTTGTGATTTCCCATAAAACTACACCAAGGCTATATATATCCGACTTGTAGTCATATGCTGCAATATTATTTAATACCTCAGGGGCTACAAATGGTGCGCATCCTCCTATTCTCTGATTTGATTTGCTATTACGAGGAAGAACTTTTGAAAGTCCAAAATCCGTAATAATGGCTCTAACACCATCTCCATCCTTTTTGATAACCACATTTTTAGTATGCTAATAACAAATAAAATTTATTATTATACATTAAACAAAGTTAATTGACTGTTAAATAATGGTATCTTACTAGGTCACGATGTAAAATTTCATTTGTATGTAAAAAATATAAACCGCAGGTAATCTGTCTTGCAATATTGACCTTTTGTTCCCAATTTGTAGTATTTTTAATCAAAAAATTACGCAAACAGCCAAGCTCTGCGTACTCGAGTATCAGATAAAGTTCTATTTATAGAAATAATAGTGAAATAAATAATATACAGTCATGAATTGAAGTTCATAGATATATAATTTACCGGATTCTTTGCTAAAGATCGTTTTTTTTTTGAAAAAAAGTTCAAATTTCAACAAAATACACATTTATTTCTGCAACTTGATGTAAATTAAAAGTTACATGATATCGATACCTCGATACGCCATAAAATTTGATTACATTTTCATATCCTATGTGAGATGTTTTTTCTTTATTTTCTTCATTCGTTTTACTTGAAAGCACTAGTCCAATATTATGAAAAGCCTTAATCTGCTCAATTACATTAAGCGAAAAAAAATTGTATTAGTATATAAATAAATTAGTAGACATATCATCCTGACCTCTTTAATAAATTCATCATTATCAGAATCTGTTTCTTCAGAAACTGCCACTGTCTTTAAAGCAACAGTTATGTTCTCTTTTATCCATTTCGCCTTTGTAATAATCCCAGAACCTCCAGCATCAACAAATTCTATTTTTTCATCGATCTCATTCCAAGGGATGAAGTTTATGATTTTATTTTGACTAATCCTCTCAATATAAGCTTTTTTAGTTTCATCATAAGCACGCCTAGTTGTTAAATACTCAGCCGTTAAGTAATTGTTATTTTTATTTCCTGACATGATAACCAATTTTCTTTTAACTCGAATTTTTTAACTGATGTACTTAAATCCCTAATTTATACCCAATCATTTGGTAAGCTTATTTATTTATT